AGAAAATTCTACACCTCCATCGATGTCACATTTGAGGAAGGAAAATCTTTTTTCACTCAACCTTATCTTTGGGGGGAGCCCTCATTAATGGAAGATAATGCCGAGGAGGGGTCCTTGGCCCAAGAGAGACGAGGTTCCCATAAGAGGGCCTCCACCTCTCGACGTTCACCCAAAAAATTCGAGTTCGGCCTGACCGATCTCACTTTCGAGGAGGTCGGGTCCTTCATAAGTCAGTACAAGATCTCGGGGCACTTGGAACGTATCCTTCCTGTCGGCAAAGGCGGAACTGACTAGGCGGTTTTCTGAGCAAGAAAACCAAGGTAATGGAAGACATCACATTTTCTCTTGGTCTCTAACCCTGTGTACTTAGATTTTTCGATATATTGTTATTAAATTTACATTGCATATATTCTATTTTAATCCTACTTATTTTTAAACCTTTTGTTTCTTAGGTTTTTGTCCATTAATCTAATTTTTCATTCAATCATTCTTTAGTTTTATTAATTAAGTATATAATATATTATGTCATGTATGTATCGCTAGGACCAAGCACACATTTTGTACTATTTTGTACATAGTACTATTTGTACTATGATGATTAGTTTCTTCCATGAGATTGCATGAATTATAAACAAACAAATTGGAGCCTACATGCTTGAATTAACACTAAGTGACAGTAGGTACTTTTATCGCTTTAGGAATTTTTTTTCAACTTTACTATACCACAACCATAATTTTCCTCTTTTCAATTCCAGATTTTCACCAAAGAAAGATATGGAAGATTGTAAATGTGTAACTCAGGAAAAGTGCCTGTAAAATTCAAGATGTAGTTTATCATTCATAAGATGCAAAATTGAACAATGATGTTTTGAGCACTAAGACATATGAAAAGTGTACGTGCTCATCTTTTTTCTTGATGAGTAACATGATGATTTATATGAGTTGAAAGATGTGAATAAGGAAGATTACAATCTGGAATATACAAAAAAAGGGAGAACCATAATTTTGGCAATACTGTATCCATTTTCTTGGTCTCCGTATTCATGTCTATGCCTGTTCTAGATGCTACATGGATATTTGTTGCATTATGTTGCATTCCAACCTTTTCTCACCATTTTCCAAATTTCAAAGCATGTGTAGAAAATCTTGAAGATCCCTCGCTAATCTTTATTTTCTTCTTATGCTCTCAGCTTTTTAGCAACTTGGTGGGAACAGAAGACTCCAAAAGTATTGACCATTATAAGAAGTACCGTCCAAATGAAAAATGGTCATGGTTTCAGGGATGCTGCATTTATTTCATTCCTTTGATAGGGTCCATGTAAGTTTTTGAGAATGCATTACTTCCTGGTTCTCCATTTCTAGGTCCAGTTTCGTTGTAGGATGTAATCTATTCCGTAAAATTTTATTTCCTTACTTGCACTTAATATGAATTACTTGGTCCTTGAAGAAATATGAATTGGAAAGTTCTATTTGAGATTTCGCTGAGGAGGATGAGTCTTGAAGTTTCTATGCATGGGGGTAAAGTCAGTTGTGACATTTTTCATGCTACTCACTTGGTGGTCTTGTCAGCACCAGGATCTAATGTGGACTTTGGCACTTTACTTGAAAGGTAAATTGTTATGCTGGTTCAAGGTATAATGTTATGTCCAATCAGGAAGTGGCACTATTTTCCTGTTTCTGAGATCAATGGCTGCAAATGTTGATCGGGTCATTGATTTGAAGGAACACTTCTTGGTTGCTCCACAACCCTATGCCACACTTCTGATGATTTTCTTGCAAATGGAAATTAGATATTTGTATTTTTTGTGGTCTTTTAGTTATCATTATGTTCCTTTCTCACATCTAAGTAAACAAGCATATCATTAACATGTATTTCTCATGCAGCTAATCATATATGCTTTCCGATACAGTTTCTCAGCAGCAGACAAACATTTTCTATACAACAAAAAGCTGCATATTTTAGGGTATCAGTGGTTAGAGGATTCCTTGGAAATGGGCCAAAAGTTGCAAGAGGGGAAATATGGTCTGAGGCCTGATAGCTTGGAGGATTTACCTATTGAACAAAGGTATCCAAACTTGATATTTATATTATTGAAGTATGATTCATGCCATCGGTTGTCTATTTTATGTATGGTCTTTTGGAAATTGCAATCTGGTTTTTATCATGATTAATTTCCAATCGTGAACAAAATAGAGGGTAATGAACAATGTGAGATGAAAACATCTGGGTATTGGATGCTTGTAATTGTTTAGTCAGGTTATCTTTTTTGTAATAGATCTCATACTATTGGATAATGGATCCTTTCTCATACATGTATTCTCCCCTATCCTAGTATAGGTAAAATCACTATTCACAGTACTTGGATAGATGATCTTAATATCTTTCTTTCTAAACACTGATACCTTTACAGGATAAGTGACATAGAGGAAAACCAGAATGGACATCCCGAGAAGGATGACAAAGGAAGTACTAATGGACCTGCTGTAGAACACCTGAGAGTCTCAGAATCCCCTGAGAAGGGTGCCAAAAGGAAGAGAGGCAGACCTGCTTTGACCAAAGCAAAAGGAGCAAGAAAAGGTTTCAGTCAAACTCGAAGATCACGAGCAAGACTTGGAAACAGACCTGCAAAAATAGATGAGAATGAATCCGGCAGCAATGATTCCTGTGATGAAACCAAAAAACATGAACACTTTGTAACAAGTGAAGGGTCCAAGGGAACTGATGGAATGGACGCAATGAAAAATGGGACATCCCAGGAGAATGAAAGCCCAGAAGTCTTGGATAGATCACTAGGAATCAACCCTACCAAATGGGAGGCCACTGAAGATGAAAACCCAGAGTGGTTTCCTAAGGACCAAAGAACTGAATTGGATGGTGGAATTTACACCAGAGACTCTGAAAATGCTCAAGGATCTGGGAATGCTTACAAAGAAAAGAAAGATAACTTGGAAAAGCTGGAAATGATGGTAGATCCGGTTCAAGCCATGTTACTAGATATGATACCAAGCTTGGGGGTGAATAAAATTGAAACTGCAGATTCTGTTATTGAAATTAAGAAACCATTGGAAGATCCTGATGCAGAGCCAGTAAAGAAGAAAAAGAAAGTCAGCTACAAGGATGTTGCTGGTGAGTTGCTGAAGGATTGGTAAAATGTTATAATTCACTTAAATTAAAAATTGTATTATAACTAGGCTGGGATTAGCTTGTACATCGTTTGTTTTTCTTTTTTAATCAGTGGTTAAAGATTTAGTTAATATTGGCCTTCTGTGCTCCATTACATGCTTATCCATTTCTAGACCAAGATTTATTGTTTGACCTAGGCAATGTTTTGGTTTGATAGAAAATAAGAGAAAACAGAAAGTAGAGAGAAATTTCTTAACAAATTTCATGAAATTCCTTAGGCTGTGTTTGGTTGCAGTGCAAATTCATTTGCACTGATGCAAAACTATGCTAATGCAAATGATTTGGGTGCAAGTTTTGATTTATTTTTGTTTCAAATTCCACCTTACTTTTGCAATAAAACTAAAGTAAAATAAGACTCAATGTAGAATAAAGTAAAATCCAAAACAAATTTAAACCACAATTTGCATTTTTTTCATTTGCACTCCCATACATTTGTACTAGTGCAAATAAAATTACACTGCAACCAAACACGGCCTTAAGAATTTTCCCTCAAACCGTATTTTCTATCAAGCCAAACACGGCTTTCATGGAGTTTGAAGTCCTAAATTCAATCTAAATCTAAGCTTGACGAACTGGGAAATGGAAATACATGAATATATATATATATATATATATATATATATATATATATATATAATATACTGGTGTGGCCCATCTATAATGGCCCGAGGTATCTCGTATCTGATGCTATTTACATTGCAAACTTGCAATAAAAAGCGAATCACGTTAAGCGACCGAAATGGGCATATAAACTTTGAGAACTCATCCTTGATCCTTCAATCTTACACCAAATAATAAGCTTTGTTTTCCAAAATTTCCCAGCGTACATAGAAAGCAAACAAAATTGTTTAGGGAAATGGGCCTTCTGTCAAAGTTGCTCGTAATATTCAACAAATAAAACATGTACTGTCTTGGGACTACACTGGCAAGGCCCAATCTAAAATTCAACCGGTTGGAGGTGATCTGATTTTGATCCATTGTAAGGTTCAAAGTATCAGTACTCACAATACACAATCGTGAGTTTTTTGTGACTTTCACACAATACGTATCCTGAACCTTGGATATTATCAGATTTAATTTTATTTAAACTTGATAAAGTTGGCTTGAATCTGTCTTTTTACTAAAGGATCAGTTTGGAATATGTGCAGTGCAAAGCCTTGTATTTTGTATTTTTAAACCTATATTTGCACTGTATGTATTTGTATTTGTATTCTTTCAAAATGAGCCAAAGAGTCGTAGGTTCAAGTTTCAATCAAGTTCTCAATTCATTTTATTCATGTATACAATACCACAACTATTTTTAATTCATTTGATTAATAATTATAATATTTTGATCATTTTGAGTTTAATGATCTGAATATAACCAAATCAAATTTGGTTCTACCAGTCCAATTCAATTCAATGTGCTGGCAGTTTTAATCTAATCAAATAGTACAATACTTGAATTAGTTTCAAACTTTCTATTTTTGAAGTGGGATGTTTATGAATCCCCATGAATGGTATCAAACCTTAATCCATGATATTTATCCTACCAAAAAAATCCATGATATTATATGAGATTCCTCTTTCTTATTCTGGTTTTGATGATCCTACGTGATAAAATAAAACACTGAAAGATTCCAGAAATACTTTGGTCATGAAACAATGCCACCCATTGGCATCTTGGGTTGATTGCTACATTCTTAAGTTTTTTTTTTTATAATTTTATTTGTCTGTTTTATCCACCAAACGATAAGACAAACATTTCAGTTCAGCCACTTGAGCTATTACTTATTACAGTTTTAGGATAGAATTCCTTTTAAAAATGGGGCGGTTTACTGGGAAAAAAAAAACAAAGAAGGATTACTCGTTCCTCATTCTTAAATTAGATTTATTTTCAATTTTGAAGTTGTATTCAATCAATCAGTCTGAATTGGATCGGTTGGTTCTGTAGCCTGATTAATTCTTAACCATTTGCTGTTATGCTTCCACATCATTGATCACCAAGGCCCTGGAGCAATGTCTCTACTAAGGGTATAACCATTAGAATTCTATTATCATTATCTTCAACCAATTGTTGGATTGTGTCTAATAAGTCAATACCCTCAACGTAACTCTGCAAAGACAATAGAAAATATAAAATGAGAAACTTCTGTTTCATAAATCTCAATGTTTGGCTGTTTATTTTCTTGTTTGAATGGTCATTTTATTTTATTTTTTTGTTTCTTTTTTGTGTAATCTTTTATTTGAATAGTTGTTGGTTTACTGTTAGCATTCTGTTAGCTACTTATTATTATTATGCTATTAGCATCCTTTTTGTTTATTACTAGTAAGTGTGCATGTGTTTTGCATGTGGCAATTTTTTATGATGATGGTGGTAAATAAAATACTTCTAAAATCTTATACAATTTTTTTATATTATATGTCTATAAAAACTATTCCTATTTGTCACATTATTTTTGTTTAATATGATAAATATACATTATTAGAGATGTGCCCAAAATGTTTTTACATTTTTTTGGGGAAATTCCCGATTAGTACCTTGTACTTTGGCCCTAGTGCCACTTTGGTTCCTGAACTTTAAAACAAGACAATCAGTACCCAAACTTTCAAAACGTGCCAATCTAGTACCTATTGTTAACCAACCATTAAGTAGCATTTGAAAAGATATAATGCCCTTTGAGTGTCATCTAATTCTCTTTATCTACCATCCAAACTTTGACAAAAAATGAACAGTCCCAAATCCTTGCCTCTTTTATTCAAGAAAGTTGGGGTCATGTCTCAATGGACATTATGGTGACCCCAACTTCCTTGAATAGAAGAGGCAAGGATTTGGGACTGTTCATTTTTTATCAATGTTTGGATGATTGATAAAGAAAATTAGATGCCACTCGAAGAACATTTGTGTCTTTTCAGATGCTCGGCTAGTTAACGATTGGTACCAAATTGGCATGTTTTGAAAGTCCAGGTACTGAATTGCTGTATTTTAAAGTTCGGGGACCAAAGTGGCACTAGGACCAAAGTACAGGATACTAATCGGGAAATTTCCCTTTTTGTATTTTTTATACTTTTGTGTGCTTTCATCGTTTATTATTATTATTATTATTATTACTATTATTTATGTATTTATTTAATTGTGACATTGCTTTAACACATTTAATCCAAAAGGTTAAATTGTTGATTGCCATTAAACAGTAAAACAAACCCATTTTGGGTTGGTTTTAAATTTGTATTTGTTTCTATCGTCAATAAAAATGACTTTTTTGTCACACATACTTTTTAATATGGTTAATTAATATAGGATTCAATGAAAGAATGAAGTTAATGCCCTAAACATAAGATTTAATGAGAGGAAATAGAATTAGTAGAAACGTAGTAGTTCAAATTACATTTTGTGCCCTCACAATTAGAGTGATCGAATTCAAACATAAGAGTATTTTAGTCAAACATAGGAGTATTCTAGTCAAGAATAGGATTCAATGAATGCTAATGGAAGTTAATATCTTAAATACATATATGACTTAATTCTCATAAAATTTTTATCATATTTTAAGTTTAATTTTAAAATTTGATAGATAATAAATACGATGATATTAGTTAAAAATTTTAATTTATTAACATATAAATGATTTAGTATATTTTTCTATCATTTTTATTAAAGTTATGTTACCAAAATTTAAATTTTAAGTTACTATTTAAATAAATAAATATAGTTTTCAGTATACTTGGGCCTATCAGGTCTATTAACTGGGACAATTCTAGGTCTATGATTTTGTCTCAATTAATAATCGATTTAGGATGGGATCTACCTGGACCCAACCTAGACCCAACTCATTGATAGCCCTAAGAAGTATGATAATAAGGACAGGTTATGATGTACTCATTGTCGGCGTTTTAAATGCACATGATACTTGTTGGGATCTCATTAGGAAGTTGAAATGGGCAATAAAAAGCCAAGAACAAAATAATAAGAGGTAGGTCCAGAAGAAGTTTAATGCAACTAATATAGCAGCTCAAGACAATTAAACCAATGGTGTGCCTTTATATTGGTTTTGACCCCAAGGAGGATAGTATTTATGCCTTCAATGATCATGTACAATCATATGGTAGGGCCTTACGTCAAATGGGCAGTAAAGCTAGTGGTACCCCCTCTACTTCATCTGCGTCCACATCAAGTATTGTTGTCTTTGCCTCCCATGTATTTGCTACCATTGGTTCCCCCTAGATTATTGATTCATGGGCTTCCAACTACATGACCGGTAAGCCTAATCTTTTCCAAATATAACCTTTTGTCTAGGAGGGATAAAGTGAGGCTTGTAAATGGATCTTTCTCTTCCATTGTAGGTCAATAATCAATATATCTTCCCCATAGCCTTACCCTTGCTAATGTGTTATATGTACCTAAAGTTCCTCTTAATTTTATTTCTATTAGTAGTACCACAAATTCCTTGAATTGTAGTGTAACATTTTTTCATGGATCTTGTATTTTTGAAGATTTAACCTCTAAGAGGATGATTGGTAGATGAAGCATGGTAAATACCCTCTATATTCTTGAAAACAAGGCTGATTTCTCAACATCAACCTCATAGTTGCATAGTCAATTGAGTCAATCAAATTAAAGTCAGATGTTTTTATGTCATAATCGTCTATTCCATGTGTCTTTTAAATTATTGAAGTATTTTTTTTCTTCTTTTATTCAAGTCATGTCTGGTGTTAAATTTTCAATGCCAAACGTATTGGTTAAGCAAACAATTTAAGTAATAAAAAATCGAATTTCCCTTTTCGTATGATGCATTTATATGTTTGAGAACCAACTAGTAGAATATTAGAGGGTAGTTATAGGTACTTTATTATACTGATTGATAATCATTCCCACTATATGTGGATATTTTCCATGCACTAAAGACAAAGTTCCAAAAATTATAAAGGATTTTTAGTGGATGTTGTTTAATCAAGTTCATGTTGAGATTCAATTATTCTAGTAAGATAATGTAAAAGAATACTTCCACGGTGACCTAAATGAGTTTTTATGGATCATCCATTATAGTTCATGTGCAAAAACATCACAACAAAACGATGTTGCAAAAAGAGA